TTCTTACCAAACTCTATATCTGGTATAACAGGCATAGGAGGCTTTTCTGACATCTTTCCTTTCTTTCTTCTTTGTTTTTTTAAACAATTTTTTTAAACTTCTTATTTAATTTAAAATATTGTTACAGGCATATACAGACACATAAAAGACAAGAACAGACAAAAAATATTTTGCAAAAAAAGTAATGCAATTAGAATTACTTAAAATGATTAAAAATAAATAAATAATAATTCCTGTTCCTGTATTTATTTTCTAAATTAGTACTCTCAATTACATCTTCGCTGTTATACAGTTTTTTTTTGAGCCTGTTTAAAACAAAAAAATAGACAAAAAAACAAGAATGTTGCTATATAAGTTAACGTAAATTTTAGGCATACAAAATAGCTTACACCACTCTTTTTTGCTTGATAAACATATCTTTGACATAAAAAAACATATTTTTAGTGTTCAGTGATAAACATTGAAAAACTGAAAAATAAAAAAATCGGCAAAATCAAATATAAAAATAAATAAAAAACTAATTATGTACTACTACATCTAAAACAGCAGATATTTTTTATTATAAAAAAAAAATACTGGTGCAACAGTCCCTATACTTGTCTGATTTCAGCAACAATATTATACAGACCGAAATTTACCTACAACTGCTAACAATCAAAAAGAGTAAGTTTTCCAATCTGTTTCAGGTTCAGAAGATTGTTTTTGTGCCCTACTGATTTTGCTGAAATTTGACCATAAAGGCCAGTAGCATTTTAATTCTACACGCTGTCTAACCAACGCTAAAACTTCTTGAAAATCAATTTTATTGATTACCCTATTGAAGGAATATACTCAATTTCCATCTTATTGTCAAAAACAACAATAGCGTACATTCCAATGATTATGTTTTAACTCTAAAACTAATAATAACCAAAATTAATTTTTAATTATTCCAAAATGATAATTTTGTTTTTAAACTAAGAAATAATGAATTAGACTCAAAAGTTAACATTCAAAACCAGGTAATAAGCATTGGATGTGTATATTATGCATATATTTTACAGAATAATGTTACTAATGTGGTAAACACATAAAAATCTGATATGAAAACTTAAAATTAAAAAAACAAATACAAAATCTCAATGTTTCAAAAGTGCAACTGGGGCATTACAATAAATTCATTTTTATATGGTAAACAAAGATATTTTTTTACAACGCCAGTGAGCGGTAAACACTCATACAAACCATTGCTTTTTTCAACAATAAAAATATTCAACTTTTGAGAATAACATGGATTTTTAAAAAAAGATTTTTTGCTAACAAGTTGGTTTTAAGTTATTTTTAACAATTCCAATTTAACAATGTATTTCAAAGCAATTTTCTCCAACAGTGTTAGACATGAAATACTTCTTGTTTTGATACTATTTGAATTGAAGGTAATGGCTCAGTGCTTTATTTACAGGACCTTCAGAGTCTAGTTTACTAAAACCAACAATATAGTTACGTTGACAGGTATAAATATCAGCATTTTCAAAGATTCTTTAGACTATTTGTAAATAAGGTGTTTGAGCCTTGCGAACAAGCTTTTTTAACAGACCAAGATAACTTTCATATTTAAATGAAGAGTAATTGTCAAGTGCACCATAGTGTTCTGCATCATCAGCTAAATGTATTAGTGAGTTTTTTAAAGTGAATGACATGCTTTCATTATATACTAGCTGATCTCACCGGTTATCTCTTCACAAATTTACACAAAGTATTGCAACAACTGACCATCACACCCAGCACAATGTTTAAGTAAAGTAGTACACAATAAAATCCTAACAGCAACAGATAAGTCAAAAAAATTTTAATAATGATTTAGTAACAATAATCTTTTTAAAACCACTGCCCCTGTATAAATCAAAAAAAGACGGAGCTTAGTAGTCTTCTATTGTCTCAATTCAGATAAGGTAAGAGACTTTTTAGAAAATTCTTTGAAATATATGGTCGTAAAGTAGAATATTTTTCTGAAACACCTGCAACAATACTTTGGGACAACCTGCATGATGATAAGCCACAAATCCATAAGTTTAAAACACTACGGACAACACCTAAACAAACGCTATGCATATAATCTATTGTAAATCCACTTACCATATTATATTTTAACTTTGTGAAAGGAGATGTAGCAAAATGGTGTTCTAAATCATGTTGATTTAAAAAGTTTATATAAGTTCTTAGTGGAGTAGAAAAGTCAGGTAAAACTATTTTTTGATACCATTTGCAATGTTGAATACATCATTCACAACAATTGTATCCATTATGTGTGTTAATGCACTTAACAAATGAGCGAGCCAGTGCATCACAAATAACTGCTTCTAACTTTATTTTGTATCCCTTTGTAACAGTTGATGTTGTCTGTGACAGTCTTTTCACAGATAACACCAACTTCTTGAAAACGTTTTATTTCATCAATAAAATTAATTAAATAGTTATCGATAGAATTTGGTTTACAAGAACTAGAAATTAAAACAATCGGTTACAAGTTCTGTTCAAACTCTGAAAAAGAACCTAGAATTGGTCGAAGTAATATGTTTGAGTTATTAAACAGTGGAATACCATCGATATTGAATGTAAATTAAAAATTAATAGATCTGTTGAAAGAAAATTTTTTTTAAATAGTAGAGAAAGCCAAGATTGCAATCCAATGTAGTAATACTCACCACCTGCAATAGATTTGTTTTTAATATGTCTTTTCTGAGTAAAAGCGATCTAGAATTTTTAGGAAAATCTAATCCATGTTTTCTTAAAACCGGTAATAAACTATCCAAAGCACTGTGAGATATTTTAAAACTGAATGCCCATATTTCTAGATCCTCATCTAAGCTATTTTCATTTAGGTTTAGTTCATCGTTATCAGAATCATCATTAAAATGTACAAGCCAATCTTGATTATCATGAAAGTCTACAATATTGTTTTCCATTTGGCATTCATTCATGCTTGAACCTTCATATATATTTTCATCAGCTTTATTATCCTCCAAAAATCTTTTCATAAATTAATTTGTTACTAGAAGAAACCTTTTCAACAACTATTGCCACCACCGCAGCAATTTATCGTCTTTTCGTTCTTTTTGAGCTCGTGACATTTAAACATTAAAGTTGAAAATTTTATTTTACTTTTAAAAGAAACATGCTAAATAGTTAAATAGGCGCTAAAATTATCTCAAGTAAGTTGACATGGTTGCGCGCGCATCCGGGAAACCCCAGACGGGATCCAGAATTAGCCCGTCCCGGATTCCAATATTAAAACCATACGGGTCCCGTTCGGGTGTACTTGCTTGGATATATTTACATATATATACATATATATATATATATATATATATATATATATATATATATATATATATATATATATATATATATATATATATATATATATATATATATATATATATATATATATATATATATATATATATATATATATATATATATATATATATATATATATATATATATATATATATATATAACGGGTGACAACGCAATTGCGTAACGCTCAAATTAAAGGCTCTATCCATGCTTGTAGATATCCGTGGACCTACTTTTTTACAACTTATGCAATGATATCAACACAGAAATAAAAACACGTAAAAATTAAAAAAATTTAATTAAATTGGATTTGCAAAAATCAAAAAGACGAAGCATTCTGCAAATGTTGCAATCGGATAAGACGTCACATCAGATATCAGAAAGGGTTTAAACTGCTCCAGATCAGCTATTTTTCAAGTAAGAAAACTTTTTCATGAAAGAGGAAATATCAAACGACGTTTTATTAAGTCAAAACATGTGAAACGATCACCTCAGCTTTTAAGGTCTATCGAAAGAAAAGTCAAGCGAAATCCATTGCGCTCCACCCGCCAGTTGGCAAGGGAAGCCAATGTTGCCAACTCCACAATACAAAAAGTTATGAAAGATTTGAACCTTAAATCCAGAGCTGTTGTGACTAAGCATCTTATCACTAACAAACAGAAAGAAATTAGGAAAGGACGATGCAAAAAATTATTGAACTGGCGAAAATCTTACCCTTGGCGTGTGACAATCCTCTATGATGAAAAACTCTTCACTGTGGATAAAGTTACCAATCATCGTAACACAAAGTACCTTAGTACTGGCAAAACAGTAAAGGGAGTTCCTGAGAATATCAGGTATTCATTTTCATCAAAAAACCAGCTTCTGTGGTGGTACTTGGCGTAATAGCAAGTAATAGAAAAAAGTGTTCACCAGTTTCTGTGAAAAAAGGTCGAAAAATTGACAGTGATGAGTATATCCACCTCCTGCAAGAGAATATTATTCCCTGGTTAAACAGAAACTATCCAGATCGTCAGTATGTGTTTTAGCAGGATGGGGCACCAGCTTATACTTCAAAAAAGGCACAAAATTTTCTCAGTGAAAACACGAGTTAGTACTGGGACAAAATAAAGTGCTACCCATCTAGCCCAGATTTTAGCCCATTAGACTATTTTATGTGGACGGCTGTGCAGAAGGAGGTCTGCAAGATTCCCCATGGAAGTACCGAGTCACTAAAAAAATCTACATACAAAACATGGGCCAAAGTTCCAGAAGAAGATGTCAAGAATACATGCAGATCCTTCCAGCGACGTATTTAACTTGTGTATGATGCCAATGGTGGCTATATTGAATATTATTAAACCTTAGTCATGAATAAACATCTAGTCAAAATTCTAGTCAGTTATGAATTGAAATAAATTTTTTTGTTTATTTTCAAATTTTTATATTTTTTGCGTTACGCTGTTGCTTAGTCACCCGGTATATATATATATATATATATATATATATATATATATATATATATATATATATATATATATATATATATATATATATATATATATATATATATATATATATATATATATATATATATATATATATATATATATATATATATATATATATATATATATACACATACAAGTAAATATTTTTACGTGTAAAATTTGCATTTTTAGAGTTGTTTCGTAAAAATGAGGAATTTAATGTGACATTGGGATATCTACTTAAAACATTTCCGATTTTTCCTATAGAATACGAAGTATCTTTTGAAGTTTTTTTAAGCTCATTTTCTGATGTAGACAGTCGATGTGCTTGTGTAAACTTGTTTCGATTTACCAATGGTAGTGATGATTCAAATCATTACGGAAATAGACTTTTATCTATGTGGATAACGATGCCCGAATTTAAAACTTTTTATTATTTATCTATTAATGGTATCACAGATCTAGCGGTTAGTAATATGTTAACCACAGGATGGAAAAAATTTTATATAAGTCAACTTCTCTCTCATGGTGACTATATATCAACTTTAAATATTGACGGTCAAATCTACTTATCAAAAAGAAACGATGATGCAAGAGTGTTTTATAATGTGAACTTATATTTTTCCGATCCTTTTTATGTATCGCTACCCGGACGCGTCAGAAACCTTTTAATAACAAAAGTATGTTCAGGTAAGAATGTAATATTTTTTATTAAATAATATATTCAATTATTTAAAACAAAGTCTTCATCAGCTTAGCATAATTAGTAGTAGTGGCTTTAGAGATTTATCTTTAACAAGCTTAAAATCCATCTCCTTGATGTAAATACTCTCTTTAACTTTTTTTATTTAAAAAGCACAACATTCACTTTTGCACAATCCATTTTTTTAGATTATTTTTATTAGTACTTCCAAAATGAATTTAAAGAGATAAATTTATGATTAAACTAGAACTAAAACTTTTCAAAAACGTACTTTTAGGAAATGGTACAGTAAGAGAATAAATTACGAGAATAAACGAATAAAACGAATAAAACGAATAAAACGAATAAAAGAGAATAAACGAATAAAAGAGAATAAACGAGTTGGATAATTTTTTCAAAAATGCAGTTTTTTTATAATAAAGAAACACATCTTGTGATTTCACAAAAAGTATTATTTGTATTAGATTTCCACGAAATTTTTTTATCTATAATTACTCCAACAAATTGAACGTTTGATTCCTTTTTAATTGATGTTTTATTGATTTATAGATTGGCTTATTTTAGCTATACTAAATTTAAAAAAAAGTTCACAAATTATTCTGAGGTTTGCAAAATAAAATTGATTTGGTAATTTCTACAATAAATCAAAGAATTTGACAATTAAACTCCTTGTATTTTGAATATTTATTCATTAAATATAGTTGAGAAAACATTAAATTCGTAGTCTCCATTAATAAGATTAAAATCATCTGCAAACGATACTTTAATTAAACTATTGTTTGGTAAGTATAAATCATTTATATAAAATTAAAATAATAATGTTCATACTGCTATTCAACAAAAAGATTGTGATTTCTTGTTTAATTTTTTTAAAACTCTTATAAATTATAAGTATTATAAATAGTAATTTAAACTATAACACATCTTTAACAATTCGTTTTCTAATTTATGTTATATAAATAGCAACTTTGTTAAACCTAAATAGCAACCAATTATTATAAAATACCAAGTCCTTTTTTATATATTTAAAACTACTCACAATAAAATTTAAAGATTTAATATGTATGAGAAACTCTGCTTCTTTTTTTACGTTCAACATTAAAATGAGATAAGGAACTATCTCTTCTGTTTCTAAATCAGTTTACAAATCTCTTTAAGAGAATAAGTTCCACATTGGTCATGCATTTTACCATTATTCAAATTAGTATTATGTGAAACCTATTTTACAAATTAAATTATAAGAGAAGATTAGACCTCACTACTCATTTAACTAAGAAATAAAATTTATTAATATACAAATATAATATATATATATATTATATATATATATATATATATATATATATACATATATATATATATATATATATATATATATATATATATATATATATATATATATATATATATATATATATATATATATATATATATATATATATATTAATATAAAGAGGTAGAATATATTAACATACACCTTCAAGATATATATTTTGCTTTTTAATATATATCAAAAAATGCTGCATAATTACAGACATTTATTTTGCATATGATGAAATGCATGTAAAAGAATAATTATTAAAAAAAACAACTGTTAAAGTTGGTTTTAAATAAAAAATGTGAGCACGTTGGCGTTAGAAGCAAGAAGTACTGCAATTGACTAATTGATTTGTTTGAATAAGTCTAAAAATTGTCATAAAAAAATGATGAGCCATGCAGAAATGTAAGAATTTTGCTTCTGATAATAGAGAAAATGCTAAATTTTTCATTTTAGTCTTCATGAAATAGTTTTAAGTTAACAACAACTTAATCTTTTTTTTATCAATTAAAATTGTCAATTAAAAGGTCAATTTTAAATACTTACTAAAAAGCAAATTTAATCAGTGTATAACCATTAGAATAATAAATAAGTCAAATTTATATAAAAAAAAAATTTAAATTTTGAAACAAAGCTGAATCGTTTGGAAATTATTTAAAATTTCATTTTTTAAGGTAAACGATATTTTTCTAACTTCACTTTATGTCTGATATGAGATCATCTTTTGTGTCAATTTAATTAGCAAAATGAAGCAAACAAAGATTCAGACTTAAATGGCAACTGAACTAAAAACGACGCAATCAACGTAAAACAACAGTGTTCAAAAACAAATACTATTAGGCTATTTAAAAAAAAAAGTATATAGAAATCTATCTGAGATTTTGAAAATTGCAATGAAATATAGCTCTTTATTATTCTTACAGATAATATTATTGTGACATTGCAAAATCGGTTAAGTTGTATAAATGGTTGAGTATCAGTATTTTTTTATTTGATATATATTCTCAGTAAGAGGACTTTATTCCAAATTTAATAAAAAGAAACAGGTGTGTGTGCGTGAGTGAGTGGGGCAAGGAAGAGGAGGTGGAGGAAGTTACTTACTAATAAAAAATTGTGAGGAATTTTTGTTCAAAACAAGCAGAAATTAAATAAATTTTAGTGTGGCTTGCGGTCAAACAAACTGTTTTGGGGTCAAAAACGCATTTTAATTTAATAGGATTTAACATGGTTATATAATTTTTATACTTGTTAGGGAATAAACGAAAAGTTATATTTTTGCAAAACGATATTAACAAGATCTTAAATGATATAACGAGGACACTTTCGGGGTAAACAGATTCTATCTGTTGACCAGCCTTGCACCCCTTCTTCATCTATTAGGCTCGTGCAGATGTAATTTTATTACATTGTTTCCAGTTTAGGATGTTTAATGCTGGATCTTCTTGACTCGATGCATGGGTTTTTTCACTCTTCTCCATGGTTTTCCTCACTTTGTGCTGCTGCAATTGCCAATTAAAACAAGTAAAAAATTCTTCAGAAAACAGACTTCAGTTTATCACTGCTGCAAACTATTGTAATAAGGTTTTGTCTAACGCCAAAGCCCGCTATTCTCAGGTCATAAAATGGTATTTCATCACAAAAACTAGGCTCTGGTGACTTCTGGAGAATCTTTAATAGTACCAATAATAGGGAAAAGTCTGTAATTCAACTTATTTTGTATGTTTTAGACTTTGTCACCTCACCTAAAGACAAAGCTGAACTATTTGCTAGGAACTTTTCATCAATATCATCTCTTGATTCCACTAGTTGCGTTCTCCCTGATATAGCCATCAAATAGGTTGATCTATTGCTTGACATTCATACCACTCCAGCTTCTGTATCTAAAGTGATTTCCTGCTTAAACTCTTCTACAGCATGTGGCTTGGACAACATACCTGTTATAGTCTTGCAGAAGAGTTTTCCAAAGCTGTCGAATATCTTTTCAATATATTTAACAGGTGCTTATCAGAGTTTTGTTTTCCAGCCTGTTGGAAAGCAGCATCTGTAATTTCTATATTTAAAAATTCTGGAGAGCAATCTGATTTGTCTAACTACCGTCCTATTAGTTTTCTTCTTATCATATACAAGGTTTTTGAATCTTTAATTAACGAACACTTAATCTCTCATCTTGAATCTAATAACTTACTTTCTGATCATCAATTGGAAATTCATCATCTTGTTCTAGGGCTGATTCGCTAACAGTAAAAACCGATAGGTTTTATAACGGATTAGAGATAGGTGGAGAGGTTAAGGCCTTCGCTCTTCATCTCATTCTTTAACCTCAGGGGTTCCTAAATGTTCAATCCTTGATTGTATACTCTTTTTTTATTACAATAACAATTTTCCAAATATTCTCACATCTAAAGAGGCATTGTTCGCTGATGATACTACCATTTATTCTTAACATGATAAGAAGCCAACTCTCTCTGACTGTTTGTAGGGGACATTTGACCTTGAAAAGGATGTAACTTCTGCAACAGCATGGGGCTTACAGTGGCTGGTTAACTATAATTCAGATAAAACTCAATTTTTTTCAACCAATTGTTATTGCAATAAACAAAACCTTCCTTTATTTATAAACGCTAATAAACTGGATGAGTCATCTACCTTTCATCTCCTAGGATTATCTCTTACTTCTGATCTTTCTTCGAAACCATTTATCAAATTTGTTGCATAGTTAGCATTTGCTAAAGTTGGATCTCTTTATCGAGCTCGACACTTTCTTACTTTGAATTCTATTCTCTATCTTTATAAACTTCAAATCCGGCCTTGTATGGAACACTGTTGCCATATCTGCGGCGGATTTTCTAATTCTGCTCTTTCTCTTTTAGACAAGGGGAAAAAATGGATTGTAAACACAGTTGGGCCTGTTCTTGCAGCCAAATATCAGCCATTTTCACATCGTCGTAATGTTGTTTCTCCTTCTTTTTTCTACAAATACTATAATGGGCACTGCTCTGAAGAGCTAACGTCTCTTGTGCCATCTACTCAAATTCATTCTTATGTTACTTTTCATTCAACTAAGTCTCATCATTTTTCTGTTACTGTTCCTAAATGCTCCAAAAACTATTATTCGTCTAGTTTTTTCCATCGAACGTCAGGTCTTTGGAATTTGCTTCCTTCAACTTGCTTTCTTAATTAATATAACTTGCAATCTTTTAAGTCGTCTGTCAATCGTTATCTTGCTACAACTTTCATCTTTTCTCTTCCAGTAACTTCTAACACTAATTGGTGGTTGTTTGCATCCTTATTGAAAGCAAAGATATTAAAAAAAAAATCTTTTTAATGTTGACGGTTTTTAAAACTTCCTAACACTGAAAGTTCTTATTCTCACCAATGATTGTTGCATTGTTTATTTATAAAATAAACTATACAACAAGTTTTTATTCTCACCAGTGATTGTTGCATTGTTTAGCCGTTTTTCCGTACGTATTTACCGATTTACTGCCATTTTATAGTTGTTTGGTAACAATTTTGGATCCTCTTTCCAAGGAATGCTAATTTGATAACGCCTATCTACACAATTTATCAAACATTATGCTAGATATAGTCTTTTTATCTTCAACACATCTAGCTTGCGTTTCTAATGTTGGATAAATATTTTTGATTTCACAAAATGAAGCTAGTGTT